GTTTTCCATTTAAAAACAACAACAAGCAGAATCGAATGTTCTTCCTCCCTGCACCTCCCTAAATGTTTGATTATACACTGACAGTCACACTCTTTTCACACTCACTGTCTCTGAACTGATCGCATATACATTTCTGTATACATATTTAGAGTGCGGATATTTATGTGTGTTGCGACACGGCAGCCTGTATCCCAAAACCCAGACCGAGAGTCATTTGCATAGCGTGTTTAGACGCATTTATCGCTCTATATCGCCACCACATTTCCTATAAAAATAAACGCATAAAAAGCATTATAACTCGTTTATCGTCAGCAATGGAACGATTATGTTCCTTCGCCAAAAAGTAAACAAAATCTACAATTGATTTATTTGTGAAATTTCCACATGAAAGCAAAAGATTAAACTTCGCCAGAGCCAAATTGATTCAATAGAAAAATACAATAAAAAAGTCTAGCCACAAATCTAAAAAAAGTGGTCAAAATGTTGGCAAGAGAGGCAGGGTGGGGAGAGATGTAAGTCAATTGAAGCGGAATAAGTTTTATTTGTGCAAAATCGGTAAAGAGGAAAGAGCGTTGAAATGGAAAGAACCACAAAACCAACAAAAACAAATGCGGGGGAAAAGTTTGAGGAAATCTGCTAAAATGGTAATTGTGTAAATAACAGAAGAAAAACTTATCAACCAAAAAAACAAATAAAACAAAGAAAAGGGTTCAGTTCTGGCAGAAGCGAGAGAGAGGGGGAAGAGAGAGAGAGAGAGATGAAAAAGACAAGGAAGTAAAGTGTTTTAGCATGTTCTAAACCCGTACTTATTACAATATTTTATTCCCGTACCGAACAAATGATGCATTGCCAATGGATGGGCATGCCAATGACCGACCCTTTCCACTGGGCAATTCAGCGATCCCAGCCAGAAGACAATGGCAGATGGCAATGGCGAGGGATTGGCTCCACACAGATCCATTGGCGGGCGGGCAAGAGTAAGCCAAGCTCTGAGCCAGCCCCGGGCTGGGCTAACTTATTGCTATCGCACAATCTGTGGCAACTAATAGGAAGTTGGGGCAGGCAGAAAACCCCGGACCCCAGAGCCGAGAGCCAAGAGCCAGAGCCACAGTCAGAGCTGGGGCTGGGGCTCTCTTTTCTGGGCGCATTGTGAAAGCCATGGCCAGCAATTATCTAAGCCTGCCATTGTTTGCAACGAGTGGCATCGCGCTGCCTGCTGCCTGCCTGACTTTGACTAATTTGCAAAAAAGCCACTAAGGAGCATCGAACAGCCTGCCTCCCCATTTGTGGAGGCTCCACCACCAGCTAGCCACCAGCAACCACCAGCCACCACCAGCCACCACCAGCCACTGCCTGTCATCTGTCATCCAGAGTGGGGCAGAGCAGAGCAGAGCAGGCCGCAAGGATACGTAAATCTTGACAAGCGGCGGCAATAAATTCTAATGAGCAAATCGCAAAAGGAAGTTCTTTCTAGCTTCCAGCTTCTATATCCAGTGTGCTCAGGATGTTGTCGGAGGCAGATTTATGTGGCAGGTTTCGGCATCGGCATCGGCATCGAAATCGGCATCAGCCGTCGCGGCGGCAGCTGTAAATGCCATTTGTCCAATTAGTCAGCAAACAGAGAACCTTTGCTGCTGCCAGCCACTGCCTGCTGCTGCTCCTCCAATCGGCAGTTCACCATGCATGCAACTTGTTAAATTTAGCGCATTACAATAGATTCATAAATTTTCGCCTCACCAATCGCCCAATCGCCCAATCGCCAGCGATGACATCAGTGCGGGACAGTGCGGGACAGATTCGAGAACCCACAAAAGTTAAAAATATAAATAATCATGCGAGTAGTCTTTGTTGCATGGCCAACGAAACGATATAATACTTAATACTGTAGAAGGTGTAGCGTAGGGAGTATCTGTTTAATGATATTTTGAAATGAGCAGCAAAAGGGGAGAAAAACAGCAGGACGCAGAAGGGTTAGGCAGCAGGTTGGGTAAAACTTAAAAGGGTTTGCCTTAAAGAATTCAACGAAATTCACTATTTAAACAAAGAAAACGATCATTTATTTAATATTTGTGTGCTACACAGTATCTACCCATTCGACTACATTTATTGTACATTTTCTAATGTTTTGATATGAATTTATTGTGTTATTCTTACTGCCAATTATTTCTGTGCTGACTGTTTCTTCGCGTCATTCAGAACAGAACAGTATTAGAGATAAGCATATAGGGAGTACGCGTGTTCAATTGAACGGCCAATGGAAATGGAAACCCAACAACAACAAAGACGACCGACACAATTAAACTACAAAAAAACGTTGAACAATTCATTCAGAAAAAACATTCAAAGCAAAAGGCAAAGCCAAAGGCAAAGCCAAAGGCAAAAGCTCATTAAAATAAACCAAAAAAATAAAACCAATTCAATTATTTATTGGCAAATAAGTGAATTAATCCGTTATATAGAGAGCATTGCGTCATTTACATGTGTCATTCACACGATTAAACAATACTCGTAATATTCGTACCCCTCTAGCTGCATTCAAAGTCCATCAAAATCATTGAGTTGTAAGGCTTGACCCGGGGCGAAACTTTTCCATTTACATTTTTGCAATTTAATTGTTGGTCAAATATTTGAGCCACGCGGAAACTTCTCCCTTCTGGTTATTTACATTACAAATTTGCACAGCGATCTCTTCTGTATATTCCCGCTTTGAAGTTATGCTTGGTTTTTGATTTCAATTAGCACGGGTGCCATCCGTCAGATTTTGCGGTCCACCCGTGGGTCAATCAACCCTGATTGATGTGAAAGCAAAAGTGTATTAGTCACTGAAGCCGACGACAAGGTTAACCATTTAATGCTCTTTGTTGGCTTTTATTTAGATTGTGAGTGGGCTGACCTTTGATCTCATAATGTTTTCATAGTAGAGATTTGGTAATTCAACAAATATTTTTGGTGGAAATGAGATTCCTAAATAGGACTTCTTATTTATCCCTATTTAACTCTTCTCCGAAATATAATCCCATATAATGCATATTTTCATATACAAATCTCATCATTAGCCGGTCTTAAAAACAAAACAAAAAACAATTCCATATGTCATCTCTTCGTTAGAGCCAACAAATGACTTTGTATTATTGTATATTCCTCTTATGGATTTGTTTAAAAATAAATATGGAATTATAATTAATCAAAATGAATATCCAATTTGTTGTCTACCCGCAAAAAACGACGATTTTATAGGGCTGTCAATACTACAATAGATAATTATTTATTTTCCTAAGCATATTGGAACTATGGTTTTGTTAATTTTATAGTTTATTTTCAGCCACATTTTTTGTTGCTAGTATATTTTCTCCTCTTGGATTTTTATGGTCGCGCGCGCTCCACCCCTTAACTGTGTCAATGGCCACATTTATATGTGTGTGTTTTTTGGCCAAAAATCATTTTGATTAAAAATCTTGTCATGCTTCAGTCAAAATAAAAAATCAAAGCCAAAAAAGCGACCGATACAACAATTTGCATAGGGCTGTGAATGAACGAATGAATGAATGAGCGAATGAATAAACGAATATGAGAGACGGAACATAAATAAATCATAAAGCCATAGTTTTTTTTTGTATATTTGGAAGCAGAAAGCTTGGGGCCAATATTTGCTTTGATTTTAATAGCCCGCTCCGACAGATCGCTTATATAAAGATCTGCTGTATTTATATAGTTGACTAAAGCACGCATTTGACACATAATTTGAATGTTGTCTCTGCGCCTCCTCCTTTAGGGCAAACAATGACGGAATGAATGTTCGACGACCCAAAACTTTGGTCTAGAAAGTTTTTGTTTTAGCCAGGAAGTTGGTTGAAAATTTGCTCAAGAAGCTTCAAGTGGGGCCTCAATTGTTTGTTTGATAAGAAAACGTGATTCGTACGAGACTGCATGGCACGCACTGACTTTTAGGGCAAACAAAACTCTCAAGTGCTGACGAGTCATTTAACTAGGAATCGAGTCATTTGGGAAACAAGTCTCATATTTATGGATTTGTTGTGGCTCTCTCGAGCTGATTGGCTTCCTTGAAATGCAGCTATAGATTCGTTAATTTATGAGAAAACTAACAAATGTTCCCAGAAGTATTTAACAAAGTCTTAAAAATAAAATGATGCCTGTTCGTGTGATTCGATATGCGTGTCTCCTTGCGGAAAAGGGTTATAAAAGTCACAAGACAATGAACCACAAACCAAACTCAAAACTAAAACCAAACTTCCAGCCAAATAAGGAAAGACTTGTCTCGTCTGTGTGTAATCTTCCAACCGGATGACAGGCAATATTCTCTGATGCTGTTTTCACACATTAAGCATTGGGCATCGACACAGATATAATACCATGTTGTACCCGGTAATTGTTCTGTAAATGCAGAAATAATTACTTTCAATGCGCCAATAAACACAAAGACAAGACACAAGAGCTGGTCTGAGCGCCGTCAATCAGCGAGCGCATTTGTGCACGCAGCAGGAGCTTGATCAATCAGGCAGCCAAGGCAATCAGCGGCTTGAAAGAAAACTGAAAGCAGAGAAAAGTAGGTGACCGACCAGCCACAGCCAGCCAGAGCCAGCCAGCCAGCCAGCCAGCCAGCCAGTTGACGCGTCATCTCTTGGCCAGCCATCAACTTGGTCTCGGACTCCGACTCCGACTCCGGCTGTTGCTTGATGTCGGCCTCAATGTTGGCCTAAACGAAATCGTCTGCAGACTTTCAATGCAACAAAACGTTCTATGGTGCAGCAGCAGCGGCAGCACATCAACCTCTCCATCACCAGCTTCCAACTGTAGCCCCCATCCAGCAACCACCATCCCGTAGCTTCTTTCTCTTTTTACTCAAAAACCGAAACCATAAACAACTTTTACTGCGTAGTGCGGTAGTGCAGTGTCTGCTGATGCTGCCATTTACTTTTAGCCAGACTTTAATTATAATTGCAGGCGAAACTAAGCATCTCTCGCCTTCTCTTCTCTTGCAGATCGATGATGCAGCCATTCAGGTGTACAAGGATGGGGACTATGGTGCCTATTTGGATCTGGAATCATCGCTGGCCGAACAAACCGAGGAGATCGAGGGCCTGAATGCCAGGTGAGTGCAGTGAATCGAGAACAACACACAAACAACACACCTTCCTTCTCCCGCGCGCCCTCAGTGTGTGTGTGTGTGTGTGTTTGTGTGTGGGCTGATCGGTGGACACTAACGAATTGTCAACCCACATGATGGTGGACACCTGGCGCAATCAGTGGCAGCCGCACAGCCTGACACTGCCACCCACCACTCTGCCACACAAAAACACAAAATTTGTCAGAGAATTTTCACTTTTGCTAAGGCGCCCGCTGTGGCTGTTGTTGCTGCTTACCTTGAACCCAGTTTCCGCTGCTTATTTTCCCCAACTAAAGTTTCGGGAAAGCCAGAGCACCTTTTGGGAAAATGTTGAACCAGTCTTCTTGCTGTGTCCTCGTTTGGGTTACTGGGGCACCAGATCGTGGGTGGCTCTCTTTCTCTCTCGCTCTCTCTGTCAGCCTTTCACCGAAATACCACGAAATATTACACATACGCCATGACGGTCGGATCGCCTGTTTCTTGACCATATCCGATTAACAGCTGTAGGGACGGGGGGACTTGCTAATAAAGTTATTTGACTGTCGCTCGTACATATCTGTGTGGCAGGCAGGCAGGCAGGCACACACAGGAAACGGACTCTCGGACTGCCTGGCTGGCAGTGCTCCAGACATTTGCATGCCACGACATTGCTACGTGCAACTTGTTGCTGCTACGACGCTTGCAACTTGCAGTTAATTTGCATTTAATCCGCGCACAAAAGACAACGTACAGCCAAGGGTATGGGCACTGCCACATTTTGATGTCGTTGCTTCGTTGCTTTCGTTGCTGTTGTTGGACCTCTGCCTCCTCCAGTCGTTATATATTTTTTTTGTCAGAGTTTTGAGCGCTTTTTCTCATAACTGGCATTGCATATAAAGTACATTTCTCAACAAATACCCCTTGTGGCAGCAGAGAAAGGAAGTGATGGACTCGAGAGAAAACATTTCTAAGGGGAATGTGAATGTTTTCATCACTTTCAAGCGGAAGATTTGCTGCTGCCTTTAGAGGTATTCCCTGGTCGTTCATCTTGTGTTACTTTTGATAGTTTCTTATTTATTTATTTCGTGGCCAGGGCAGAGCCAAAGCCAGAGCCCCGTGTGGAACGTGATGTCATGACTAAAGGCAGTAGAAGCATCAGCAGGGCAGGCGCTAAAACAGAGCTGTCCGCCAAGACAGACAGGCAGACGGACAGACAGACAGACAGACAGACAGACAGACAGACACTCTGCTACACAAAAGAAAAATGATGTACGCGATGGGGCACAAGTGTCAAAGTAGAAGAGCACAACACAGCACAACAAGATGGCTTAAAAGAAGAGGCGGCTCTAAAGAAGGAAGGCTTAAAGTCATAACCGTACCAGGGGCACGAAGCGGCAGTGTGTGCTTCAAAGTCAATGTTCTGAAGTTGCTTAACCTCTATGGGAAGGCATCTGGATAACTGGCAGTCTATTTCATACTTTCACTTCATCCATCAGTCATAAACCGAGAAGGAGGTGGCATGGCTCCTGGCATCCTGGTAGATGCTTTTGAAATTATAACGTAAATGTCGCCGCGTCTGCGCAAATGGCAGCCACTTTGCAGCGTTTGAAGGGGGAGGAGGGGCAGGGTTGTGCAGGCACCCATTTACAAGTCTGCGATTGGCGCCAATGAGAGTGGTCTGGGGCCCGTCCTCTGGGCCACTAATCATGCTTATCGCATTAGTCATGGCAGCGTGCTTGCATGCAAATCATGTGCCTCATGCGCGCCATCAAAATTCCATAGAGAGGTCTGCAAAAAGGGGGAGAGGGAGCGGAAGGAACCCAGCAGTAGAGGCAGAGACAGAGCCAGCGACAGGTGTGGTGCAGAAAACCTTTATTATTATTATGAATTCTTGTCTATATGCCGATTCAGAGTCCAACTCCAGAGTCCAGTGTCTGTGTGTGTGTGTGTGTTCTTCATAGTCCATTTTCAATTATCTGAGTCGTTGGTTATTATTTTTACGAGTATTATGACCACCAGGGAGGGCAAACAGCAAACAGCAAGCAGCAAGCAGCGGGTAATCAATGTTCTTCTTAGCTGGTCAATGAACCCCCCCAACCAAGCGAATGTAGCCCCTGAGTGTGCCCTGAAAAAGCCAATATATTTCTGTACAATTTAATTGAGTTTAATCAAATGAATTTCCTTATTTTATATATTTTTATAGCCGCAAGAACTCTCTGGTGGTGCGCACACAACTAAACGTACGCGTGCATTCAATTATTGGTAAGAAACGTTTGGCAAAACGATTTATAGTGCAAAAACCATTCTTCTTTTATAATGAAAAACCTCTTTTGGTGCAGAAAAACTACTCTCATCGGAGGGCAGCGACCTGCGACGTGCGCTGTTCTCATTGAAGCAGGTGTTCCAGGAGGATAAGGATCTGGTGCATGCCTTTGTGGCCCTTGGCGGTCTCAATTGTCTGGTGCGCGTGGGCAATTGTGCAGATCAAAACTATCAGAATTATATACTGCGTGCCCTCGGACAGGTAAGATCATCCTACAGATGGGTAGATAGGTAGATGGTAGAGATGCTTAGATCCCAGCCTAATTATGTCATTTTGTTGTTTAGGTCATGCTCTATGTGGATGGAATGAACGGCGTGATGAAGCATGAGCCGACAATGCAATGGCTATACTCATTGATTGCCTCCAATTACCGATCCGTGGTGAAGACGGCACTCAAGCTGTTGCTGGTGTTTGTGGAATATGCCGAGTCCAATTGCTATGTGCTGGTCAGTGCCATACATGCGGTGGATGCCACACAGGGAACGCTGCCATGGTCGAACATAATGAGGTATACTTTCGGGCAGCTAACCCATTTAGAGATGGCACATTCATTCATCATGATCTTTCCACAGACTGCTGAAAGATTATGACAATGCGGATGCCGAACTGGTGATCTATGCCACATCGTTGATCAACAAAACCCTTGCTGGACTCAACGATCAGGATACATTCTACGATGAGAGCGATCTGCTGGAGCAGCAGGGCATGGAGACAGTCATTCAGCGTTACATGTCCAAGCCAGGCACTGATCTGGATCTGCTCGACCAGCTGCAACTCTATGAGGCTGTACTTAAGTGGGTGACGGCACCAACAAAAGGAATTCTTCAATAGATTATTCATTTTTCGCTCTTGCAGATTCGAAGATGGTGAATCGGATGGCCAGCGGCTGCCGCAGAACTCTATGCGCAAGACGCAGCGCTATCGACCGGGCACAAACACCACAGAGCGGCGTAAGTCGCGACGCCACAGCACCGACAATAGTCCAGTGCCCATCACCAAGGTCCTGCCCACAACGTTGCTGCGTATGACGCCCACGCAGGGCACCCTGGACGAGGATAGTTCGGGTTCCACCAACTCCACGGAGTTCAGTGGCGGATTGTTCAACGAGAAGAAGCGTAGGCAGAACCGATCAGGATATCCCTTGGCAATCAGAGCACTAATATTCCTTTGGTTTTCTTTGTATAGCACGCGATGGTGCGGGTGTCACGCCTGGTTTAAGGCGTCGTCGTGAGCGTGCGGAGCGCCACAAGAGCTTCCTCAAGGAGCAGCAGGAGGCAGCGGCCAATGGAATATTTGCCGCCTTGGAGCAGCGCGAGGGTTTGGGTAAGTGTGTGCCATACAAAGTTGCACCAGGATAACGCCAGGCTTCTCTGTACCGGCTGCTTACTAACGTTTTGATTCTCTCTCCCCCCAAAAAAACAATGCTAATCACTCCATCTATCCGTGTGTATCCGTGTCCCGCTGTTGCCTCACCCGCTGATCATATGTACATGCTAACCGCCACAAAAAACCGCCTAAATGCCACCAAAAGGCCAAATTGTAACAGCCATTCCTGCTACCGTACAAAGCGGCGACAGTCCGCCGCAGTCATTGCAAAACGAGCTGCCGCAGCCATGCAATAACAATAATATCAGCAGCAGCAACAACAATGAAACGCCCAACAACAGCCTGCTGCTGAGTCCCAGCAAACAGCTGCTGAGCGGCAGCCAGAGCATCTCGATCATCAACAACAGCTTCGACAAGTCCAACAACAATAATACCAACAACCAGAACGAGTTCCTTACGAAAAAGAATCTGTTCCGCGAACGGAACGCCACTGTGATCAATGGAATCATGAAGAACATTCAGCAGACGGATACTGGCTACAAAAAGTACGAGAACGATGCCAATCGCCTGAATAACTACTACACGCAGATGAGTCAATCGCCCAAGCATCAGCAGCAGCAGCAGCAACAGGATCCCGAGGATGTTCTGCTGAGTCCGAAGAAGCCGCTGAATGCTTCAGGCTTTGATTTTACGCCCGTTCCGCTTAGCTCCACACCTGTCAAGGGCGACATAATGCCGGAAGCAGAGCCGCTGAGTCCCATACGTAAACCCATTGCAATGGTGACGCCACCACCGCCTCCACCGCCGCCACCACCACCACCGCCACCCGGCTGGTGGAATGCACCCATTGGCAGCGTTGCAGCCAGAACCCTAACCAGTACTAACCCCGCTGTGGATACCCCAACAGGTGGGTGCCTTAGTGCCGCGTTGCATACTCTCGAGTGCTGCCAAGATATGTTCATCCCACCATCTCACAGCTGCCGCTGCATACTTTTCTGTGTGCCACAACATAATCCCCAGGGATAAATGTAGAAATATTATTTTATAAATATTTGTTCTCTCCCCCCTCCACACACAGAGCTGGACAGCGAGGGAAAGCAGCAACTGCAGTTGCAGCTGCAGCTGAAGCGCGATCATACTGTCAAGGATCTGACACAGAAGCTAAGCAATCTGCCCACGAGTCCCACACAGGAGCCAGGCAGTCGGTCCGCCATTGTCGGTGATATGTCCGGCCTCATATCGAAAGCCAAAGAGGGACTGGCCAAGAGTAAAAGCAAAGGAGAAATATCCAGGTGAGATTTGCAGGATTAATCTTGGGCAACTGTTAGAGGTAGCCTATGCCAGGAATATTCCACAACTTTTTTTTACTACCTTTTTCCTAATAGTCAGAGTCAATTCAATTTTGCCTCTTAGAACTTGTCTCTTCAGAGTTTTCAGTTATGGTAAATCCGATTAGAAGCTCGTGCGGTGCATGGGGTGCTTATATGTAGTTTGTATTATTTCTGGTTTACGAGTATATATGGCGCCACGTAGTTATTGGCGCGATAAGAATTTGGGGCAAGCAATCCCCGTGCATACGTGTATGTGCAAGGGTTAACTCGTGACTCAATTGTGATTTACTTTGGGGAGCATTACTACTTGGATAAATCATCCATTATGTAACTGACAAGTGAGAGATCTAAGTTACCTTTTAGCTATAAATGTTTTTGCGGTAATACATCTGAAGTCCTTCAAACTGAATTGGAATAGAAACTTATCAGAATCGATAGACAAAAAATGATCTTGTTGGGCAAGAAAGAGAATGCCGAGAAAATACGAACCGACCCACGAATATTGTGCCAAAGGGTAATTCAAAACGAGAATCTGAACCGTATTGCTGAGTTGAATCTTCAGCTAGAGCAGACCATGGACCCTTTGTGCAATAATTTCTGGAAGGTTTATCCCGGCCAATGTTGAACTGGTACTAGCCGTGCAACGAATTTATCGCCAAGTTAGAAGCATTTAAAATTGATTATAGAAATAGTTAAGATCCAGGTTGGTGTGGAAGTCTACCGAATACACAGACAAAACTACTGGAAGAGAATGGGCAGCTAAAAAGAAACTTAATCTCAGAGATAAAATAAAAAGCTTTTGGTTTAACAAGATTTATTGCCGGATCAAAGACAAAGTTGTTGCTCAAGGACGGGGGACAGAGACGATAGCTATAGCCATTGCTTATCCGTAGATTGGATCGTATTTCTCGTACAGGGCAGTGTAGGCGGCCTTGGCGGCATCAACGGACATTCCCTTGCGGCTCAGCCAGGCATCGTACTTGGCAGCACCCTCGGCATCGGCGGGCTTCTCGATGGTAATATCACCCTCATGGATCTGCTTGTACAGACCATAGAACTCCAGGTAAACCTCCGTTGGGGGCTTCTTGCTGAAGGCCTTGGTCTTCTCGAGAATTGCGTTGAACTGCAAATAGATTATTGAGATTTAAATCCAAATCTTTGTGGGCTGCGCGTATCAGTGCGAAGACTTACATCCATGTCGTTCCAGTAATGCCGTGACAAACTATGATTGATTTTCGTGTAGCACTCAACTTTTATACACAATCGAAAATCGTAGAATAGAAGGTGGGAAACAGGAACTCTTATCTACGCGATAATGCAACATGATAATGCGACAGCAGCGGCAGCAGCAGCACCACCACCAGCACCGGCGTAGAGTCCATCGTGCAAGTTCATTTTCGATTAGATTTTTTTATGTGAGACTTTCGTAAGAGTTCAATAATTCATCCAGTCGTGATGTTTGTAGTCGGTTTATGTTCCATATCTGGCCCTCGTCATCGGAGCTCTCGAAGAAAGTAGTCTCCTGCCTTCCGTCCTCCAAGTCGCCTGATTCTATCGTTATCTCTATCGGTTGTATCTTGCTGCTAGGCACAAGGCGTGTCCCCACGATAAGGCTGGCTACAAGATTATACATTTATGGCCAACACCATCGACTGATAGCTGATATGAGCCATAAAGTTTGCCAAAAAGTTGCGAATAAGATAAGGATCTCCCTTTGATTGTATCTCCCATAGATCATCGAGTGTGGATCAGGAGCTGAAAAAGTCCGAGCCGAAGAAATCGGAGAACGAACTTCACTGGGAGGAACTGGTGCGGAATATGACGCGACCTTTGAACCTCTGCGACCTGGACTTTACCGATCTGCACGATGACGATGAGAAGGATGTTTTGGCGCCTCGTGGCCTGGGTGCGGGAATACCACCACCACCGCCGCCGTTTGGCAGTGGAGGCATTCTGCCACCTCCAATGATGCCACCAGCACCCAGTTTAATTCCTCCCCCCATGTTTGGCTATGGCGGCAGCCTCACCAACAGTGTGAATAGCTCGCTGAATGGATCCGTCAACGGGGAGCTGGTCAATGGGAATAATACGATCAAAAAGAACAAAAAGACGGTAAGAAAATGAAACAAAGATCATCGAAAGTGGGAGAATTAAACTCGTTTCATTTTATTTTCACAGGTTAAGCTCTTCTGGAAGGAAGTGCGCGAAGATCTGATACCCCAGGTGGTGGGTAAGACCATTTGGGATGAACTGCCCAATGCCAATGTGGATACACAGAAGCTCGAGCATCTCTTTGAGTCCAGAGCCAAAGACTTGATGACCAAGGTGCGTGGGCAGTGAGCCCTTAGATATATGTACCTCTCTCTTCCCCTCCTAACTTATTTGGTCAAAGGTTCAAATGTATTATTACCCATAGGAAATGTGTGATTAAATTAGTTCTAGTTAGTCTCTCCCACTCTCTCTCACTCACTCAATCTCTCTCTCCCCTAACGTTAAGTGTTTTATGTTTTTGTTAACATAACCAAAACACCGAATGATAATTGTATTCTTCTTTCCCCCAATATATAATTTCTGATAAATGTCGAACGGAACGGTCTGTTTTGCGGATAAAACGTAAATGTTAAACGTGTGCTAAAAACTCCAAAACACTTCAAACAATCACAAACCAAAACAAAATCAAATAATAATTACTCAATTATGTTTGCAAATGTTTTACAAATGTCTCTCTTTTAGGAGGTGAGTGCCATGAAATGTTTTATACAACAAATCTCTTTTGTTTTTCACTCTCTCACTCTGTCTATATGTATGTACATCTCTCACTCTCTCTCTGTTTTTTGCCCATTTTGTTTTGTGTTTTTTGGTGTTGGTTTTCTTTCACTCTTATACCCACACAGCCACAGACAGACTCCTCTATCAGAACATATTCCACTCCACTTCACTGCACTCTCTCTGTGACTCTTTGCACCACGTTTTATGTGTTTATCTCTGAACAATCTTGTCTATAATTCATTAAACTAATATCCCGAACTAACATCTTTCAGAAACAACAAGAGCTAAATAAGAGCAAAGAGATCATCGTGCTCGATCACAAACGTTCCAATGCCATCAATATAGCAATTACAAAGCTGCCGCCACCGCGTGCCATCAAGGCGGCCATCCTGAAGATGGATGCCACTGTGGTGACACGCGAGGGCATTGACAAGCTGCTCAATATGCTGCCAACCGATGAGGAGCGTGGCAAGATCCAAGAGGCGCAGCTGGTTAACCCAGAGCTACCACTGGGCAGTGCCGAGCAGTTCCTCTTGACGCTGGCCTCCATATCAGAGCTGGGTGCACGACTGAAGCTGTGGGCCTTCCGCCTGGACTTTGACAACAGTGAGGTGAGTGGGAAAGATTCTCCTTCAAAGACAAATTTATTGATTTTTTCTTTATTTGCAGAAAGAAATTGCCGAACCGCTGATGGATCTCAAGCAAGGCATTGAGATCTTGCGTCAGAATCGCACCTTCCGCAGCATTCTCTCAACGCTGCTGTCCGTGGGCATATTCCTGAATGGTGCACCCGTCAAGGGTTTCCAGATTGAGTATCTGGCCAAGGTGCCCGAAGTGAAGGACACTGTGCACAAGCACTCGTTGCTGCATCATCTCTGTCACATGGTTATGGAGTCGAGCAGCGACACGAGCGATCTGTACTCGGAAATTGGTCCCATTACGCGCGCATCCAAGGCCGACTTTACCGATCTGGCACACAATCTTACGCAGCTGGAGTCCGAGTGCAAGGCCTCCTGGGATCGTCTCAAAGTGATAGCCAAACACGACTGCCCACCACCGCTGAAACAGAAGCTCGTGGACTTCCTGGCCGATTGTGCGGAGCGGATAATCATACTGCAGATTGTCCATCGGCGCGTGATGAATCGATATCGCAAGTTCCTGCTCTGGCTGGGCATGCCCCAGCACAGTGTGGCCGAGTCGCGGCCAAATGAGTTCTGTCGCACCCTGTCCGAGTTTGCTTTGGAGTATCGCACGACCAGGGAGCGGGTGCAGCAGCAGCTGGAGAAAAAGGCCAATCATCGTGAGCGCAATAAGACGCGTGGCAAGCTGATCATCGATATGGCCAAGTTCAAGACCAAAGAGGATGTGGCCGATGCAGAGTTAAAGTTGGTTCAGCAAACCGTTCTTTTAATGAATTTGTTTAATTATTAACTCGCTTTGCAGAACCCTTCTGGGCACACCAAGTGCAGATCAGGCGGATGGCACTCTCACCTGGAGACGTCGTCGGGCCGAGCAATTGCGCTCACCCATTGCACGCCAGAGCGAGGAGCAGTTCACCGATGGCGATGATGAGATACTCGAATCTCTGGTTAAGACCGCCACCAAGGCGCCGGGAACACGCACCACACCCAGGGAGCGTAAGAGGACGCGTAATGCGGATCGCAAATCATGTGAGTTCATCACTTTCATTTAGATCCACTACAGAAAATTCCAACGAATACAGATTTAATGAAGAGGTGTTGGTTTATCTCACACACAAAAACACACACACAGCGCGGTACATGTACTATAACCTTTAGCTGGATACAACACCCAACAACACCACACACACACACAGCACACAGTGACAGAATCTACAATCTACCAGCGGCAATACGAAATTTATATTCAATCCAACAATCAATCAAGCAATATAATTCCCACACGAAATTCCAAATTCACGAAACCCTTTCCCTTTCGCCTGTAATTCCTGTATAATTTACTTTTTTTCCCCGGTGCTTTTTGGCCATTTACCCAACTGAAATTTCCCAGCTTAATGGAAGCTTTCGTTTACAAATCTGTTGCCTACATTGGTTTTTAATTTGTTGTTTTTTTTTTTCATTTTGTTTTTCTCACCATTAACGCACCATGTTAAAAAAATATATCAAAAATATATATTGACTATCGGAGAAGTGAAGCGCAGCCGCACGCGCGAAGGATTCACAGTTGAAAGAGCACCATCGCCATAGATACCGAAATACCGTATTAAGCCGTAACCGTTACCGTTAGTGTTAACCGTAGCTGTAACCGTAACCCGTTACCGTTACCGAAAGAGAACAGCCAACTGTTTTTTTAGGTCTTACCTTTTTTGGTTAGTGAAATAAATTCTTTGTTGAATACTTTCATTTTGTTTTCCCCTTGAGAATTTTGTTTGTTCATTTTGGAACTTTTGTATGTTGTTCAAGGATCTAAGGATCTATCTTATGTGCATGCAAGAAATAATGGAATCGAAATTTTGGCATGTTTTTTAACAAATATTCAGGAACATTAATGCATGTCTCGTTTAACCTTACTTTAGCATGTGAACCTCAATATTGATTAATAATTATATATGTATAAGATAATCCCATCTATAAACCAACTGAAATAATATTCTAATCATTTATTGCATATTTTTTCAGTGCGTCGCACGCTTAAGAACGGTCTGACCGATGAGGAGAAACAGCATGTGGCTGCCTTGATACAAACCTATTAGGATCTAGAGCACCGGATACCCCCGGAAACTCCCCCCACTCCACTTCCCCACTTCCCCCAGTGATGTCACAAATCGGACTATGCGCGCAACAGACTGAAATTGGCGATCTCGGACGAGCAGAGCAGCAAACGAAAACCCCCAGAAAATCACTCCCTTTTATACGACACAGCATCACAGCATCGTCATCAGCATCACCAGACAAAAAATAACGAAACTGTCCTTAAAAGAAAGCGTTTTTCATAGTGTTTTATCCTGTTATTATTATTTAAAATTTTGTTTTTGCTTCGGCCAAGTATTATTAATTAAACGTAATTAAAACTTAAAAAAAAGATCTGTATTAGTAGATGGAAACGATTTTAATGTTAGATATTTTTTCAAATTGCAAAACAACATTTCGACATGTCCCTCGACTTTTAATTTATACCAAAATGCCACAATGTTCTTGTGGGCTACTTAAATTAACTTAAATTAGGAGAAAACTTATGACTACCTTAACTACGAATCAAATCAATAAATAAATATATTTATTATAGAAGATTTATGTAATTAGATTAAGCGACGGCGACGGCGACGACTAAAAACCATTTGTACAGGGCTGCTGAACATAGTCCAGGCAGAATCCACGATTATCTATGTCATTCGGTGCCTCAACGCCATCCGTGTGGAAGTACAGCCGAAAAGGACGAACGCTGGCTGCAGAAGAGACATTAAAGCTGGCAAATTAAAGCAACAACAAATCCTGCACTTACATTGTACTGTCTTGGCCAACATGCCAGCCTCGGCGCTGAAGGTGCCCCCACAGACACGATCCTCGCAGCCCGGCAGCGGTGGAACGCGATCCGCCGATCGAATGCAGCCAATCAGCAGCCAATCGCTGACACAGCCATTGGCACCGCCGCCACCCACCATGGTGGGAACAGGATTGTTGGAGTTGCCCGACAGCGTGAAGGCCCTCGACCGATTGTTCTCCAGGTCCGGGCAGGTGTTGTACTGAATGCCGCAAAAGTTTCGCTCATTGCGAATGCAGATGCTGTAGTCCTGATTGGAGAGTTGCCTCCCACCCACCGTGTTGTAGTTGAAGCTCCGCACGCGCCCGCTAATGGCCGTGTAATACTGCAGACAGCCCTGATCCGCTCGACTGATGCTGCCGCAGTGGATTTGCGTGACGCGGATGCGCCACAGGCGCGGAAAACTTCCGCTGGTGATCACAGATAAGACAATCGGATTGCTTTGGCCCAGACCCGCATCAATGTACACTGTTCAAGCATGAAGCATGATGACATTGAGATGGTTACGAGATGGTTAACAGATTTGCGCACTCACTGTGATCGCCCGTGGAGCTGCCACAAATGGTGGGCGTTGGACTTCCGCCCGATATAAGAAGCTGATCTTGATTGCACAAATGATTGGCGGCCTCTGGTGGAGCTATGGAAAACATATCCAGATCCAAGCGCAGCTGACAGATGTCCGGATGAAGTTTCTGCACCGTCACCTGGCAACTGCCAGTGCCATCATACACATCCGGATGATTCGGGTTCACAAAGTAGGTAGAGTTCTCGCGTATCACGCCACCACAGGTCTGCAGAACTAGCAAAAAGAAAGCCACCAGTTGAACTCAGAAAGGACTTCAGTCTTGGCATAAATTCATAAACTTACATACGCAACAGACGCCATAGCCGCCGCCACAGGGACCCGCTGGTATGCCATTCCTGAGTATACAATCCTTGCTGGGAATACAATTACCCTGCTCCCCAGAGGGCGCCGAACAGCTGCCGGGTCCAATGGGCACCAGAGCAAATATGGGAAAAACTGCAGAGGAAGGAAGGACCGATTAATATTTCGGAGTAGATGAGGATGATGATGATCTCTCGTTTGGAACCTACACTTGGACTCACGGAAACGCGGACCCGGCGACAGCCACTTGCTGCCAAAAAATAGATCCCGCCAGGTGTTTGTCTGCTGCGGATGTGTGGGCACTTTTGCGAAGGCCAGGAGTAGACAGCAAGTTGCCACTGTGAGTTGCAAGTGCAGGTGCAGTGCAGTGCAAGTGATGATAATCCACTGATCCGCACGCGTTGCTCTTTGGCGCTGTAGTGGCAGGCAGCCCACACGGAGGCGACACTTTATTTCAGTTGGCATGGCAAAAAGTTTAATGACCGCAATTTGTTCGACGCTTTTCGCTTTTTAGTTTGTGACAAACCAAAACCCACTGCAGAATTTAGCTAAATATTAATTACAATAACAAAACGCAACATTCAAAACAATTAGATGCGCCAACAGCAGCAGCACCAGCACCATCACCAGCGAACTGGGAATTGGGGAATGGGAAGCAGCACATCGCATCTGTGTGTGTGCTCTCGCTTTTCACGTTTCGTCAGCTCTTTCTCTGTTTTGTTTCCTGTTGCGAATCTGTTTTCCACACCTCTGTGCCGCCCATTAAATGTGGAGCAACACCACATCCCCACAACCCAATCCAGCCCAGCCCAAACTCACCCAACACAAAATGCGAGCAGTAAAAAGTGCTGAATAATTTACGAGTTTTCACAGCATAACAGAAGCAGCGGTGGCAATCACAACAAATGAAGATAGACGTGCCAGTGCCAGCGCACTATATTGTACACAAATTAGCAAACTGGATATTTATAGTTACTTCACTTCCCCTCTCACCCGCTCACCTCATCAGAAACCGATTTTGACGTCATTGCCTCACAAAGCACTAATTGGATTACATGCCGCTCCCCCACAATGGGGTCAATGTCAATTGAATTGCTTAATTCAATTAGTTTTTTATTTAAAATTTACTCACGCAGCTGAGCATTTACTTGTATTTGCATCTGTATTCCATAATTAATCCTCAGAACACTGACCTTCGCAACCGAATTTGCTTAGCTTCCCCACCAGAAGGTTGGGCAGCAGAACATTGATAAGCTTTTAAGGCTTTTCAGATGAACAGGTCATAAGAATAGTTATATGGCCGCAGCATTTCAAGGTCTGTTTTCGCACAGAAACATTTTTGGGCTCTGCGCTATCTGGGAGTTATCTAAAAACGCGGTGGTCTATGCTCTGGCACAATGAAATTTAAAGTTACAAAAGCTCCCAAAATTACTCGTTTATTGGTTAAAATATTTAACAAATATTTCAAAGAACAATTTGCTCGCATTGGAAATTCAAGGACAAACAAACCAAGCTTGAAGGTTTCAGCGATGCACTGCTTGGACTAAAGCTTCAGATTTAGTAGTTGTATTGCCTTCACTTTGAAGCGGCAAACTGCTTGGTCATTGTAGCGCTAACAGTGAGTTGTAACCGGCAGAGGCTCCAGGCTGTTAAAGGAGAGCGTTAACAGGTTGCCAACCTGCAATGTAAACAGCGCTGTTGCCCTGTTAGCGCATGAGAACCAAACCTTCTGGTTTGTCCATGAACTGCTTGCAGGACAATTGCAAGGGAATCGAACCAAACGTTCAGGTTTCAGCGACACACTGCTTGGACCAAACCTTCAGGTTTAGACGTTGAGAGAGTGGAGAGAGCTGCTTGAAAGGAAAAAAGGAAGCAACGTTCCCGGCTTTGTCGATGCTCAATATTAGTAAGATGATTATGGAGATGTCTTTATTCTTTGGAAATTATATATAAAATGCATAAATTATGCAAACCTCGTCAAACACAAAATTTGAACTTAATATTTAAAACAGAATTTATTCATTGATTTATTTAATGGATACTTTTGGATTGTAACTTAGATTGAACCCTGCTTAGGGTGCTTCTCTGTCGCACTCAAAGTCGTCTTCCAGCTCGCACTCGCTGACACAGTATTTAGCGGACTTCATCGAGCAGAACTTGCCATCGCTGCACTTGATGACACGATCGGTCAATGTGGTCCCGTCGCACATCTGGAAGGTGGTGCGACTGGTGCAGACGAACAGTGAGCTGCCCGTGCAGCTGGGGCAATCGATCGGCGACGATCCCTCACCGCTTGAGCATGTTGGATCAACTAGGCCCTTGGGGGCACAGTATTTTCTTAGACTCGTACAGACCTCGCCATCACCACATGGCAAAACCACTCCGGGCTCTACGTTGTCCAAACAAAAGCGATAGTGGGTCTCATTCACACAGGCCACATTATTGTTTTGGCATAAACCGCACTGGCTTTGGCTGTAAACTACCATCGGAACGATGATCAGGAAGAGGCACTAATAAACCATAAATATTTGAATAAAATTTATTATTGGTTTCTGGGGAGAGCTCACCAGAGTTGAGAGGAACGGGGACTGCTGCATTATGGCTGGATAACTGGAAACTGACTAACGAGAGCAGCCAAGAAATGCCTCATTTTATATGAGAAAAACAGAAGCCAATACATCAACAGATCTTCGACACACACAAACGCGAGATAAGTCGGGAGTCTTAATACTGTGGCTTAGTCCTGCATAAAAACATTTAGATATATGACAAGATGGTGGGTTGGCTACCGGAATTATTCGCTAGATTAGCTTACTAGGAAGCCCCAAAATGGTGTGGCTTTATGGCCACTGCACGGCATTGAGAGATAAAAGCACGAGCATCTGATCTCCCGCCATAAAGATAGGAGAACAAGTGGCTTGGCCTTAAAAGGCCTGACACGCAGGTGGCCCATCATTAATTGCCAACTAGAGATGGAGGCGTTCAAGTTTCAGATATTTTCGCTAGCGCTGCTCGCCTTGCTGCTGGCTCCAGCCAGCGTGGATGCCGTGTGTGGCAGTTGCACGAACGCTCATGCCTGCATCAGCGAGACGCAGTTCCAGCTGTGCTTTGATGGTAAGTGATTTGACCTCCAAAGAGACTTTCGTCTAATGGTCTGGCTTTGTTAGGTGTGCGCGACCAGAGCCAGAACTACACCTGCCCCAGCGACAGGGCCATCTGCGTGGATTACATTGCCACCTGCATGGCCAATGGAACGGCGGCGGTGAGGGGCTGTGGCGATGTCTCCGTATGCGGTGTGTGCCCGGATGTTACAGCCAAGTTCACCTGCACTTCGCGCAACACCTTTGCCGCTTGCAGCAATGGAGCAATCACCGCGTACACCCAGACATGCAAGGACAATTTCGTCTGCAGTGCGCCATCAGCTGCCGCGGGCACTCCCTGTGTCTCCCATTGCAGGGGAATAACCGGCGAAGTGTGCGATCTACCTCGACAGACTTCCGCCGATGATACACCCATCCAGACCACCTCATTGGACACGAGTCCGGTAACCACAGAGTCCACTTCCGATGACTCCTCTGTAACCACTGTGAATCCTCCCACAGCAACAACGGGGATCTCAACAGTAGACCCAACCACAGACTCAAGCACAGCAACCCCTCCCACTTCCACTCCCACAGTAAACACTCCCACAGAGACTACTCCTACGACAGTAAACACTCCAACAAAACCCAGTCCCAGTCCCCCAGTTAGCACTCCCACAGAAACCTCTCCTACCACAGTAAACACTCCCACTGAAACCTCTCCCACTCCCACAGAAACCCTTCCAAACGATACCACATCCACTCCCACAGTAAACACTCCCACAGAGACCACTCCAACCACAGCAAGCCCGAGCACAGAGCCCACTGTACCAGCGGAAACCGTCTATTGTCAGGGCATCAGCACCGCTGGTCGTTATGCCATACCCGGCGACACGGTGTGCACGAGGTAGGTCCACAATATCCCTGGCCACAGACCGAACGAAGCCTTATCGTTCATTGATCTATCCCCTTTCCCCTTGCAGCTTCATCAATTGCATCTATAGGGAGGAGAGCTGGAAAGGCATCATCTATAACTGTGCCGCCACAAAGCCCTACTTCAACGCAAGCGCCTTTACTTGTGGCACGACCAAGCCTTCCGGAGCGGGATGTACTGATGTGTAGCCAGCCAGGGCTTTTTCAAAGTCTAAATATAATATACAAAATATTAAAAATATACTTAAATGAAAATATAAACAAATAATACAATTTATAATTTATAAACTTCTGGAATGTAAACCTACTCAAATGCAGAGACAATGAAGATAAAACATTGCTCAGCACTTCATCAGAGAACCACAAATACATGGAGACATTTCTCCGACTGGGTGTGTAGTATGTGTATTTATTCTTGACTTTATATATTGCTTTCATTTCAGTGCCATCAACGCCTCAATGGAGAACTTTGGCTTAAGACAACCAAGTAGCAGTTTCATGGCTGAACTTACTTTCTTTCTGCTAACAAATCCATAGAGTTCTTGGTTTGTGGAAACACTAGAAATTCCTGTTGATTAATCAAGCTTAGAGATGGTAAATCTCATTAAATAAATACGAGTATGTGTCCAAAGAGTATTCCCTCTCTGAAACATGCCGTCCCAACACAGACTTTCTCGATTCCGGTGGTCAATGGTCTCGGAATCGGCGCCCACGCAATATTCGTAGATATATTCTTATGCTGCTAATCTGGGAATAGCATGAGGCAGCAGTCATGTGGAAAGCAAAGCCAAATAAAACAATTAGCGCGGACAACGGGAGAAAAGTTAAGACTGGGTAAACATTGACTGGCTGCTGGCTGCTCTCTGGGTTTATATCGAAGTTATCAACTAACTTGGTTTTAGTGTTCGCAGAGCCTCGACAGTGACTACAAGCAAGAATCTTTCTCTACACTGAAAATGTTCCAAAAGCATAACAATTTCATACCAATTCTGGTAGCGGTAGGTTTATGGTTTTATCTTAACGAAAAGAAAGGAAAATATCTGAAAATATCTAACAGCTTTTTGTGGCCTTTCTGGTGGGTCAAACCATATCCGAGTGCAATGTCTGCCAGAGCAATAAAGTGGCCTGCATCAATTCCACATCCTTCTATCTGTGCTTCGGCGGTGAGTGTCATTGACAGGTACTCCAGATAATCCAGTTTCAAAATATCCTTTGGCCATGCAGATGGAATGCCTCACACGGATCAGCTCTACCACTGCCTGGATGGTTTCCAATGCAGCAATCTGACAGCGATCTGCACCCAGAAGAGCAACCAGCGGCCGCCCAGCTGTGGGGACACCTCACAGTGTGGTCAGTGCAGCGCACATCGGAACTATCTGTTCGCCTGCCAGAGTCGTGGCATCTTCCAGATGTGTTACGGTGCCAGCAGACCCACCGGGAAGTTTGGTTATTGTCCCACGGGCACGGTTTGTGATGCCAGCAGCGATAGTATCTGTGTGCGTGCGGTGGCAAATCAAACGCTGACCTGTGACCTCAATGATCAGCTGGTGGATACCACCACAGCACCACCACCCACCACCACGGAAATCCCCGGTAATACCACAGAACCAACTACTGTGACACCCGGGACACCGTTGGATGTGTGTCGCCAGCATCTGAAAACGGGTCTCTATGCCACCGATCCTGTGGATCCCAGTTGCAAGCGGTACGACAGATCTAACCAATATTTTTCGACATGTATTTCATTGTTAATCTTTTTTTTGTAGCTACATCAGCTGCTACTTTAAGAATAATACCGTTGTCAAGGCCACGGAATACGATTGCCCCTCGGACAGCTACTTCCAAGCAGAGATGCAGCAATGTTCCTACACGAAGCCAGCAGCTTGCCTTTAGACCAGACCCCAATAAACTATCTAAAATTCTCTGTTTCACCTGTACTTACTCCAAAACAACTCCATTGAGCGTCAGACTGGAGACTGTGGCGGAACATGTGGCGGGCAGTCCACTCGCACACATCTTGCTGGCACTGTTGTAGTACAGACTGCCCGGACACGTGTACAGCTGACCCCGCCATGTGCCACTCAGCAGAAAGCAGTTGATATACTGC